TTTACATGTACATCTATACTACTAAAGGAAGAGACCGATTTCATTGAGCCGCAACTCATCTGAAACCATACAAAGTCGGAAATATTTGTGATATGACGTATAAATGTAGTGTTTTGTACTTCCTTAAGGACAAGGTATGATAAGGGGCGTTTTTGGCCCCCTTCCCGAATAAGTTTATATATAGATCAATGATAGCCTTTGTATAGGAACTAGACAAAACAAAGATTTTTTGTTTTCATGTGAAAGGAAGGTTGCCTAGCAACGGTTTTATTAAATAGCCAAATTATCACTGATGCATTGCTTTCTCATTACAAATTATCATAATTCAAAATAGTATTGTTGTTTAACAATATCTTGAAGTTGCAAATGAATAATCACTTCAATTTCAGTTTAAGAAAATTAATGCTTAGCAACAACCTAGCAACAAAAATATTGCCTAGCAACGGTTCAACAATTTGTAATTTCTGCCATATGAGGTATAAATATAGCAATGTTTGAAGATTTAGCTGCCATAAATGATTTTTCATTCATATATGATGTTGAGTCATCATTATTCTTTTTTAAGAATAGATATAAGAAGATGTGGTATGAGTGCCAATGAGACAACTCTCTATCCAAGTCACATATATAAGTTCATATTGAGCATAGCATCCCATCTGAAACCATACAAAGTCGGAAATATTTGTGATATGACGTATAAATTTTTGAGAAAATATCTAAATTCGGAGACCGTTATCGATCCGTGTCTTATACGCTTTCGCGCATGCTCAGTCGACGTACTGCCCGCGAAATATATATACTAGTACCTTATCTGTACGCCGTATCTGTCAGGTGCACCACTTAACGGTGTATTGTAGGATTTGCTTTATACACGGGTCATTATTCAGAGTTGACACTACTAAATTCAATCATTGTCACATTGTTTTCTATTGTAGTATTTTATTCAGCATAACTTTATACTGAAGATGACGATACGAATATTAAAAATCCAGACTTAAAATAAGGCGTAGGTACAGTTTCCAATTTGTTAGCCGGCATGACGTAAAAACGGCGAATCAAAGAATTCAACTTTATATATAACTAATATAGGACAGTTGTGTTGATTGAAATTTACCAAATGCCAGTCCCCTTTGTTTTCCAAATAATTAATATTATCAATAATTAGAAAGACTTTGAAATCAGAGAAAACAGTGCATCTTATAATCAGCATGACTTTATCAGATGCCAATAGCAATACTAAAAGTTCAGGCTAAAAATAAGGCTTATACATGATTAAATACTTTAATTCAGTCAAGGACCCGCGATGTCGCGGGTGTGTTCTAGTTATATATCATACACAGCAATGCATACACATTCCGTAAACAAGTTATAATCCGATATTGATTCAGTAGATTATAAATAACTGTATCATCACTAAATAAATAGAATACGAATTTGAAAGTAGAACGCATAGACCAGCTGGTAAGTCACATTTGTTTGAAATTAGTATGCAGCATACTATTGATATTCATTAGCCATTGTCAAAATATACATTTCTTTGTATTTCCGAATGTGAGGACTTTGCAGTATGTCGTAACTTTTGAGTGTCTTCAGTATTTTGAAAGGGGACTATTCTAAACTAAAATATAATAAATTTTCCAATCAATGGGGGAGGGTGCCGTACACATAGGCACTTGTCTCTGAAAAAATACCCATCTACTTTAATATAACACAAGGTACTTAATTCGTATTTTTGAGAAATGTCACCCGATCGCGAACTTCTGTTATGTTTCGATTCTGCGTTAGTCTATCCTGCTGAAACTTGTTATGTCCATAAATATACATTAAATTATCTACACAATGGTGTATAACAGGCCTTTTTCTATTGTCGGAATCATTGGTAACAAACCTTGAAAATATGTCAACCGTAATAGACAAACGCAGAATCGAATATAACGGAATTTCGCGATCGGGTGACATTTCACAAAAAACGAGTTAAGTACTTTGTGTTATACTAAATTGTATAGGTAATTTGTTTTCAGAGACAGGTGCCTGTGGATGTACATCCTTAATCCGACACTGGTATAAACGGCTAAAATTCCAGCAAGGAGGTCTTAAGACTCTTTAAGATCAATTCGTACTTTTTGAAAACTTCTATATTATAAAAACAAGGTTCTTTCTTCAGAGGGCATCAGTGAACCAACAGCGGTGGCCTATCTATAGTAGAGGTGGTCTATCTATAGCAGATGCTGCTCCAGTCACAATTGGAAGGCTATTTTAGATTTTTTTGCTTCGATGCTTTCGATTTAATTTTAATTCAAGTAAAAAAAAAAATAAACAATGTAATATGTACAATGTAAAAGATATTTGTGCACCTCTTATGGCAGACATCGTAAGATTGATTGTTGTTTTTTTAACGTCCAGTGGCAAATATTTCATGCATGTTTAGGACGAGCCATCTGATAAACAAATTATAGGTAGGTAAAGCTTGTCCGTCATTTGACCCGGGAACACAGTTATGTCGTGGCGCATTTATTTTAGGCAATACATTCAAATTAAAAAAATCGCTCCTGCGAAACCTCGAAAAGATTTTTTCTGTTTAGTTGACAAATTATATGAATTCTTTATATATTGTATATATAAAAGTATACCAGCTCGAACTCAAAATATGGACAATTCTATGTTAATGGTCTATAGTTGAGTTTGAAATCTTCAGACATACTCATTTTTTACCCTTTTCAACTGGACCAAATCACTATTTTAACTAAACATTTATAACCCAAATTTTGAACATGTAGTTTCATTCCACTACTAACTATCCTACACAATCCATACTAAGGACTATGAAAACGAAAATCAAAGGACGATAACTGTGTCCCCGGGCCAGTTTTGGATGAATATCCAACTTTCCCAAAACATATGAAAATTACATTTTGAATGAAAAGAAATATGTTTATAGTCTAAGGAGACAGTAACCTCACGACGACAAAAACAGTTGTGTAGATGTTGTTGTGAGTATAATAATTAATACATAACATTTCATTTTCATTATAGGACGATAAATACACGAATGTAAGGACGCAGTCAATCAAAACAGCGTGTATGTTCAACTCAGATGGGAACTCCGTGGTAGAGGAAGTGAGAAATATTTTAAGCCAATCCGAATTACCCGAGGACTGGAAGTCGGAACCCTGGACTAATTTTGTAACAGAAATTATGTCATATGAAATGGATACCCGTCAAATGAAAAGAAACTGTGAAGAAGCTTGGCAATCATATGCAAGAAGATGGCACGAGCTTCAGCAAAATATGAACGTGTCAAAGGTCCGGGTTGTGTTTGCTGGAAGCTATGCAGAAGGAATGCCAAATGCATGCAACTTGGATATGATTTTCGTTGCTGCTTGGGCCGAAGCTTACGAGGACTTTGGAAAGTTACGGGATAGTATGAGCAGATAACCTTTCATTTCCGATCTTTGTCATCCAGGATACATGAAATTAATCGTCCCATCTAATACGCGAAGATACTATGGTTTTAAAGATTACAGATTAAGAAAGATGGACGTCATTATTACTTGAGCAGTATAGGATTTGAGGGAGCTGTGAAAGAATTGAGTACAACTGGGTATGATAATCATATAAGTGGACCTGCTCTCACAGAAGAAGGTGTTGAAGACACATCAAGTGACAATGTGCACGCAATCAAATGCGCTAAGTGGCCATCATTTGCTAATGATATTTTTCTACGAGCACACTTTAATGGCGATTTTGAAAAAATGAAACACTTGAATGTTTATGTTGTAGCGACTGGTCATGCCCTTAGGAAACATAAAGATATAGAATGGAGATTGTCTTTTACAGAAGCAGAAATAGTCTTGGTGATGAATTGGACGGACACCCAATATCATTGTTATTATCTACTCAAGCATTTTAAAATGATACATCTTAAAAAATCAGATGTCCTATGTTCATATTTCATAAAGGCGGTGATATTTTGGGTAATTGACGTCATACACAATGCGAAATGGATGCCAATCCGACTAATAGAGTTATTATTCCGAACGGTGAATCTTCTGCAGATCATGTACAGGAACCACTACATACCAAATTACTTCATGCCAAAGAATAACATGATAGACCACAAATCTAAAGATGATTGTCTGATTCTAGCGGATACGATAAGTGCCATCTTGACATCCGGGCGCATAAAATATGTCATTGCTGAATTACTTTGTGAAAATGATAATGAAGATATTTTTCTATCTTCAATGAACTGGTATACAAAAAATAAAAGAATTACCTCATGTAGAACACTCTGTAACGCTATTCGTAAATATAAAGAAATCTCACAGACATTTAGTTAGCAGCTTATTATGAATGAGTCGCTCATTTTGTTATCGCTATCAATTATGATGTCTGTTCATAGTCTTTCTCAGTGCAAAGCATTAGTAGAAGTATTAGCGATTCTACCGCAAATAATTTCATTGGAGTTTATCGGTGCATTTCAAGGTGTCATCAGGAGACAGATAGCAGATTTTTGTCATTCGCTTAGAACCAGATATTCACGAAAAAAAGCTGAAAGTTTGTACAAGGACTCTCTTTCACTTATTTATCCTTGTGGATTCAATGACAGACAGATATCGGGAAGAGTTCAATTAGCTCTTTTCTACTATTTAAACGGCGACTTTACCATTGCTTTAACCAAGATGAACAAAATCCATTCAGTTATTGTCGATGCAATCAAGAATAGGAAAGTAGACCACTATCTACAAATTTCTTTCCCGGTATGGTTAAAAGAAAGATTTTCCAATGACAAGTTTTTGTCTTGGTTGCTTTCGACTTTATTGACGAATCATCCTTTTACTAGTATTATAAATGTGATTATCATCGGCATATATGTAATGATTGAGTGTATAGTTAGAGTCTTATCGCGAGATGGTCAAGATGACGCGTTGGAATTATATTTTCTTCTGAAAGATTGCGAAGACCAGCAGTACACTCCAATGGCTTCTGAAGAATATCACTTTATTGCAAATGCTTTACTAAATACAATAAAGGAAAAGTACAATATTTTTCAGTTACCACGACCAGTACATAATATACCAACTCTAACCAGGTTCCAGGCTGTTAAGCAGTATCGGGATAACCGATTAAAATAGATATGCGATATGGGCTTTGCTCATTGTTGAAGGCCGTACGGTGACTCATAGTTGTTAATTTCTGTGTCATTTGGTCTCTTGTGGATAGTTGTTTCATAGGCAATCATACTACACCACATCTTCTTATATTTATATGTAATACACAAATGATATAAATTATTATATATTAAGTTGTTTTTATTTCATATGTTTTTTTATCGAGCATAAATTTTATCAAATAGAAGAACGCCATAAAACCTGACAAAATCAAACGCTCGACTATATCAACCAAAATAGGCGTTCGTACATTGTAAGTTCATAGCCGCTCGGATTTAATCGATCTGTGCAGTTAACGTTGGGAGTAAATGTTTGTTTGTAGCTGGAAGCTATAGAATTCCTTTTTTAAGGTAGATTAACTGTAAACAGCCATCTTGGATTGTAAAATAGCAGTACACAATTGGTCTAGTTCTTTGTTTAAATCTGGAAATATTTAGACAGATGGGCAATTACTAGTAATACATGTAAGACTGTTAATTTCAATAAAGAAAAATAAGTGATTTATTGCACTATTTATACCATATATTTGTTTTTGTTCTTTCAATTTTGCAATTTTTGCAATTTAAGGGGAGATAGCTCTTATTTTCTTAAAGCATATTATAAAACCTATCCTCTCATCTTTTATTTCAAAATTCTATCTCACAGATATCTTTTTATTTACAAAAAAGTGTTTTTTTCATGAGTGATCTTTGCAAAATTTGGTTATTTTGCACCACTTGTTGGTCCAAACTTTTTATTATATTTTTATAGAAAAGCATGGTAAAATCTACATTTAGGCATAGTGTTAGAACATTTTATTTGAGGTAATATATACCGATGATCCACCTTAATTTTTCGACGCAGTCGGTGTAGTTTCAATTTGGTAACCTATGACCTTAATGATGCCAAATTATGGTATCGACTTCGGCGATCTGTTCTCAGATTTGTTGAAAATGATGCAATTGCTGATAATAATAATAATGTAAAAAGAGTTGTGGATAGACTGGGTTTTCGAAGAGCTGACCACAACCCTGAAATAAAAACAATATCCGAGATCTCGGTCCCAAAGAGGTGATTTGAGAACTAAAACATATACAACTAGGCTACAAATCCAAACAATTGCCATGACTTCCGGTTAAATAGTAATGAATCTGTGTTTTTTTTATTGCAAGTTTTACAGTAAGCAGGTAAACGAAAGAAACACAACAGAATTAAAACAAGAAACAGCAACAAAAAACAATAAAACGAATAAATTAAATCTATTTTTGTTTTTAAATGGTACAGTCTGGTTGTACATGTAGAACGTCAACATCTAAAACATTTACAGCTTTACATGGAAGACAGGATGGTCAGTCATCTCTTTAATGATAGTTTTTGATATATTCTGGTAGTACTGAAATTATAAAATAATTACGTTTGTAAAAAAAACATATATATTTGATAATGGAAGAAAAGAATTGAAAGGCACGATTTACGTTATACGCGTATACTTGGCAATGTAAGAAACGCTACACTTCCTTTCCGACACAAGTAATATTTTCAAGTCCTTTCTTTGTTTTAATTTTTTTCATTTTTAAAATTGTGGGCTGATATAAAAGATGTCAGTTTTATAGCCACATGAGAGTTTAATAAAAAAAAAATCAAAAATCAACAGTCAGAGGAAAAAATGTTCACTATGAATGTTCTGTAGAAAAATAAAAATAAACTCTTAAAAAGTAAGACAGACTTCATGCAGTTACCAAAAATGTTCTCTTTTTCTTTCTTTAGTGTTTATGTAAACACAATCTGACCTTGAACGGTTGATTTTCAAATTACTTAAAAGTATTTCTAATTTTAGGATATTTTTTTTGCAAAGAGAAACAACACGTAGTTGGAAATTTGCGATAAGAAAATTTATAGTTTCACCTTCGACAAAATGTTTGTTTTCGATAACAATGTCTGTCTTCGGAATACACAAAATCTGACTAAACCCATTAAATTGCAATTTTTAGTTATCTTTTCCATCAGACTTCTACAATTATGTGACTTATTCAGAAATGCGCTAAAATGTTGTTAGAAACTTAAACCACACATATAAAGCTGTGATATGCGTCATTTAAACTCTTGTGGATAGTTACTGTCACAATTTGGCAATCATACCACATCTCCTCACTTTCATATGCTTGGATTTTACAACAAAAAATCAAGAAGAATTACCCTACCTCTATTTGATACAAGAAGCAATTGACTTTTTTCTATAATTTATAGATTGTTTTTTATCTTGTTGTACAACAGTTTTCCCCGCAAATACAGAACCCCTTTTTGTTGTAAATTTTTTCGTTAATAATATATATATTATATGAATAAAGCATAGCTGAGAGGGTAATAGAGCAGATTGTTACTCCGAGAAAACATTGTCAACCGAGGCGAAGCCAAGGTTGACAATGTTTATTCGAGAGGTAGCAATCTTCTCTATCACCCTCTCAGCTATATGTTATTTAATTTATTATACTGACTGTTCAGCCTTTATTGTCTTTTAAATTTCAAAATTGAAAGTAATTGAATATGGCGTCATGTACATAACAACGTTACATGTAGTTATTAGGAAAAAAAACAACAAAAGTAAAGCAAGATGAATCTTTTATTTTGACAGTCTATGAAAAAGTTATGAGGCCTAAACGTAGAACTTGAGCATTGTCTTTGAATTATTGATGTAAATTCAATTTATTGACCTTTAAATTATCGAGTTTGGTTGGTCTGCATGAGAGGGTGACATTTAATAAAATGTCTCCCGCTGAGACATAGAATAGAGTAAATTATTTCTCTCGTATTAGCCAATCAAAAGCTGGCATTTTAACGTGAAGTATAATAAAACTAGATGACTTAATTGGTTTTATAAATGAAAGGTTAGCATATATCTATTTTCGGATGTATTAAGAACACAACTACAGTGACCCCGTTTTTTTTTATTTCTTTATTGTCTCATAAGATTTTATAAAAGCTTTCTTCTCATATCTTATTCCAAAGTTCTATCACTTAGTTTTCTTTCTATTCACATATAATGATGTTTTTTTTTTGTATAATCCTTGCAAAATATGTCAGTTTTTCAAAGCCTGTGGCTTGAAACCATGGTTAATCTATTATACCTTTCGTTATATTTTTAAAAATAGTACGATTTATCAACAAGTCGACCAAGTATTGATCTATATATTCTATCATTTTTTGTTTATACACCTAACAATCTTAATCCCGTTAAATTTCTAAACATACCTCTTCATTTGTAAAATAGTATTGTAAGGTCGGATATAGATCGTTGTCATCATACTTGAATAACCGCACTAAATGTCCTGAAAAAATTAGGTAAACTGATTTCCTTTTAAATTTTAGGACGAAAATTTCAATTAAGAGCAATCCTTCTCAACATGTTTCCTCGAACGTAACTGTAAAAGTCACATCCTTACGCAACATGCATAAACAATATTTTTTTTTGGGTATCTTATAACATCCAAATTGTGTTTAACGAGATCACTTTTGGTTGAAATTTTCGGCTCTGCAGTAGCCAACCCCAAAAAAGTTGTGACATAATGCTGCGCTTCTTTTGTAGGGAAAAAGAAAAAAAAAACTCGACAGGAAATGCTTATGGAGCTTCCTATTGTGGATTATTGCCATTTTGTGCAATTTTTAATTCGTTAAGTCTAAAACTTTCTCCAAATAAATAATCGCACGTGTAGATTTTGCTACGAGTCTTCACTCCCAAAACTTAAGTTTCTCGGTTAAATCTTGTAATGTCACCGTATATTAGTCGTTTCCACTTCACGAAATTTGAAAACTCTGGACACACTAATTTTTATACCTCCAAATTAAAGATTGTACAAGTGCTGCCATTGGTCAAGAATGATGTAGTTGAAGTGGGCGTGACTTCTATCTGTCGCTAGATGGCACATCTTTGACGCGGAATCAAGGTCATAATTATCGATTTGAGCATTGTAGCATATATGCTAAGTTGTACTTCAGCATATGCTAAATTCACTTGAGCATTTTAGCATATATGCTAAGTTGTATTTCAGCATATATGCTAAGTTGTATTTCAGCATATGCTAAATTCATTTGAGCATATGTTAAATTCATTTGAGCATATGCTAAATTCGTTTGAGCATATGCTAAATTCATTTGAGCATATGCTAAATTCATTTCAGCATTTGCTTAGTTCAATTAAGCATATATGCTGAATTATTTAGCATTTACAGAAATATTGACGCAGAATCATGGTCATAAATAGTGAATTAAAATGAATTCAGCATATGCTAAAATGAATTTAGCGTATGCTAAAATAAATAAAGCATATGCTAAAATCAATAGTTTTGACCTTGATTCCGCGCCATACACAAATTCCGCCAAAGTTGTAGGGGAGAGGATAGGACCATATACTTATCTATAGCGAGTTTATTGCAGTGTACAGTAGTACTTATATCAATTTTTCGTTTGGTTTGGATCTGTTATCTATTTCCCACCCGAAGGGATATCATGTCTATATCACACAAGGATATTAATACGCTCAATTTGATTGGCCTATTTCAATTGGCTGCTCGTAATGTTGGAGATTCGATTTAGTCAGTGTCTCAACTGAAGAAACGTTACAACAAAATAAGCCACGTAAAAAGAATTTTTTCCATAAATTATATATGTTACAGGCATTTTCTAAATTTAGGCATTTTCTAAAATGCCTGCAAGATTCAGGCATTTTACATAATGACTAATTTTTTGGCATTTTATAAAATGCCTGGAAAAATTGAAAGGCATTTCACAAAATGCCTGAAATTATTTTATAGAATGAAATGTTAAAAAAACAATTGAAAGCTTTGAACAACAGAGCAGTTTTATTTATGATAATTACTAAATGTTAAAGCTTGCAATTTTAGAGTTTTAATAATCAAAAATAAGTTTTACTAAATTATTCCAAATTCAGACAAGCACAGAACTCGACACTTATTTGTTATTTCTTAAAATGTTTGGATGACAGAACTGTTATACAATATTTGTCCTGAATTTTTGCAATATACATTGTTTGGTGTAAAATCTGGTTTTAGGACTTCGACCACATTTGGATAAACCTGGATCATGACACATTTAGCTCTTTTATTACCTTGTTTGATAAAACACTTAACATTCGACAACATTGGGTTTCGCAATAAGCACACACATCACACATGGATATCTTCTTTTTCATATGTTCCCAAAAGATTCAAAGTACATTATCATGATTATTTTGACTTGTATCTTTTGGCTAACAGCTTTTAACGGAATGAATCCGATCTGACGGGTGATGTATCTATAATAGTAGACGCTTGACCTGTCAATGCACCGTTATTTGTCTCTTCTTGGTCGATTTTCGAGATTTTAACCACAGTTAACTACTGTCTCATTAATTCATCAGATTGCAAAGACCCAGGAATTTCCTTAGCGCTTAAAGCAGTGAAGATGAAGATACTCGTATCTTTGCATCACAACCAAACACGGCCTTGTATTGCGAAATCCATGCTATAGAGGGGACTTTGTGATGGATGTAGATGTATAAATTCTCATTCTTTCTGCATTGGGACATTACATATATTGCCGCATGTTAGTAAAGTGCAACACTTTCTGCACGTTAAGAACTCTTTGACCGTTCTGCAAGTGGAATTTTCTGTCCAATCCAAAATACCTACATTTCAACCGGCGGTCGAAATTCCTATCCTTTTTCCATGTTAATCCACTGCAGAAATTACCCATATGAATTATAACCAAATTATTCTCGTCTTAAAAATGCATGAAATATTTGCCTCTGAAAGCAAACAAACAGCAATCAGTCAATTAAAAACAAACTTCTTTTATTCTGCTTCATATGTTTCACTTCACTGTTTTGAATCTAGATTTTCTAAAAATTCGTTTGTAAATTTTGTTCTATTGAAAGAACAATTTGTCCTTCTGCCATTTTGACAAAATAATCATAAATTTACTATCTGAAATACAGAGAGAGTACATACATAACGTAGTTTCTCTTAAAAGAACATATCATATGACATACAAATTCCCAGCTGGTTTTTAAAGAATAAATTAATTCTACCGCACCATTAGTTGTTTTCTTTGCAAGATATTGTGTTTTTGTCCACTTTTTGTCATAAGCATCTCAATGATATCCCTTTTCTACAAAATGCCTGAAACTGAACAGGCAATTTGTTGAATTTTGTTTCAAAATTACTGTCATTTTACAAAATGACTAGGTATTTTTAGTCATTTCATATAATGCCTGTCAAGGTTAGGCATTTTATAAATTGCCTGAAAATTCAGTCATTTTACAAAATGCCTAAATTTAGAAAATGCCTGTAACATATACATTTAACAACTCGAGAGAATTAGATATAAGTTTATATCAACTCTCAAATCATACGAAATTTCTAAATAATAGTTTGACCTCACCACTGATTCTGGTGTCTGTTCCAAGTCAATGCTTTTGATATTAAACGGTTAACATAACCTATGATACAAAAGTTGGTTGCAAAATAAATTGTACATTGGTTTGTTGGTTGAGAGAACATCTGATATCCGAAATATAATGCATGATAGACGATACTCGACGGATTATATTGGTTGAGGATTGATATGATGTATGATATTAAAAAGCCATATCATATACACTTTGGTCCGATTTGGTGGTGTTACATCTTACACAGTCTATTCGAATTTATTGTAAAGAATTCCGCTCAAGCCGGTGCTAGGGCCGTCTTAAACTTGCAGTGAGGTGAGTTTTTTTTGCTCCGTGTTGAAAGCCTAACTTTGACTTTGAGATGAAGAACAGCAATAAAAGTGCAGTTCCTTTGCCTTTTGTGTGTGTGCCTTTTTTTTTTTTTTTTTTTTTGCTGTGCATATACTGAATTTGTGTAATTGGTGGATACCCCATATCCTTAATTTTCTATAAGATGTTTTAACGTGGAGTGACGTAAACGGGGTTTTGATAAGTGACTTGGATGGAGAGTTGTCTCATTGGCACTCATACCACATCTTCTTATATCTATTTGTAATTGTGATTTGTATAGATTATAATTACATGGCATCTTTCATATCAGACCCTTTATTAGCCCTAGGTCATGATATCAGCCCAAGAGCCGAAAGGCTCGAGGGATGATATTTTGAACGAGGGCCGATGAAGGGTCTGATATGAAAAATGACATGTTATGATTTTTTTTATCATATACTTCAGCAGAAAATATACAGACAAGAATTATTTTAAAACTTTGAAAAAATGCATTTATTGTATTATTTGTTTATCATTTTTCATAATATGTTTTCCTGTTTCCTAATACTTGTTTGGTTTTTTTTTATCCTACTTTGTTATGTTTTTCACATCAGATGTATTATCAGCCCAAGGTTCAATACCAGCCCAAGAGCCAAAGGCTCGAGGGCTTATATTGACAGAGGGCTGATACTACATCTGATATGAAAAATGACATGTTATGATCTTCTTCATATGCTTCAACAATGGAGAAAAATAACAGTTTAATATATTGATACTTTTAAGTGGTTCTCAAGTTAGAAGTTCAAAAAGTGAAAAGTTTACGGACGACGGACGCCAAATTTAATACATCCGATATGAAATCGTTCTATCATATGCCTCAACAGAGGAGAAAAACAACAGTATATTTTTTTATATTCACGATAAAAAAAATCAACAAAACGAAATGAACACTGTTTGGAAAAGTCAACATTTGTAAAGTAACTTGCTAAATTATGCTGGAAACTTTGAAAAATGCATTTATTGTGTCATTTGTTTTGCATTTTACATAATATATTTTGCTGTTTCCTAATATTTGTTTTGTACCCTACTTTGTTATGTTTTTCACTGAAAACGTACCATTGAGATGTATTTTCCGGAATTTGCCGAGTGACGCCGGAATGCCATGCGATAACGTTACGGAAAGGCATGCGATAATAGCCGGAAGCAGTTGATAGACTTTTCATATCAGCCCGCTAAGCACCATTTCGGAAAATACGGAAATTCACGTAAATTTAATGCTATTATCATACTGTAAAAATTATAAGTTATTTACTCTAAGTATATGATAAGTATAGATTACTACATGGCATTTTTCATATCAGACCCTTTATCGGCCTTAGGTCATGATACCAGCCCAAGAGCCGCAGGCTTGAGGGCTGATATCATGAACGAGGGCCGATAAAGGGTCTGATATGATAAATGACATGTAATTATCTTTTTATCATATACTTCAACAGAAGAAATACAGACAAGAACTATTAATTAAAATTTTGTCTTTCCATGAATTTTTAGATAATAATTTACAGACAACCAAATACAAAAGTCTTAACTTTTATTGTTTTTATTGATATTACAAGCATTTTATTTATCTTGTCACAACAATTAACATGTTCTTAGTTTGAAATTTGCTCCTCAACTATTTTGTGGAAAGTCTTAAATCACTTGCGGTTTTCCGCACTGTGTTGTCGTTTTCGAAAAAATTTCCGGAAATGCACGACGTTGCGTGTGATAAACGTCACGGAAATTAACGGAAAGGCATGTGATAACATTCCGGAAGCAGTCAATAAAGGTTCCTTTATCAGCCCGCCGAGGAAATTCTTAGGAATCTGATAAATAAACCTAGTAATCCTTTCATAGCCTTTTAATATTTTTAAATGTTATTGAACTGTAAAATTTTAGTAATATTTTATACAAGTATATGATAAATATATGTACAATTCACAGTTTTATCAAGGGATACAATTATACCATTATTTTGTGTAAGTATATAAGTATCGATATCATCACGGATTGCTGAAACAGCACGATTGACATTGATTGTATTGCACATACAACTTTAAATGTATTTGCTACTTTTGGCCCGAGAACACAGTTATTTAGTACTGCATTTCTTTTGGACAATAAATTCAAATTAAAAAAATCTCACCAGCTCTATCTCAAAAATATTTCTACATTGCAGTGTACTACTTTTGGGACAAATAATATCAAAACTTTAGAAAAGTCTAATTCAGTTTGCCAGCTTCAGACATACAAATTTTTTACCTTTTTGAACTGGACCAAAATCACTACTCTACATAAAAATTCAGAACCCAAAATTTATTTAACATGTAATTTCATCCCCTTCTTTAATATTTCATGTATAAAATATAAAAAAATAAATTTGGAAAGTGTATGAAAAAAATTGTGTAAGTTATACACTGTCCACACTAGGGACTATACTTGTACGAAAATCAAAGGACGATAACTGTGTCATCGGACCTTAAAGTAAATAAAAGACATATTGGATTTGTAATCTCACCTTGCTTGTTAACACCATCGACTTTACTCCATATTACATCTGACATGAAATCATAGTTTCTCGGTTCAAAAACGGTTATATTTGATGCTGGATAAAATCTACGATACCTGGAGTATCCCTTTATTATGTAAACAGAATCCTGGTAATTTTCTATCTTGACGAAACAGTCAACTGAAATCAAATTGGACTGAAATTATACTTTTGTATAAACGTTTAGTACAACTTATCCCGCATTATGCATTACAGACATTTACTTTCTGTATTTAAGTCCTTGCATGAAAAGCGATATTCAATAATAATTATAGATAGTAACAAAATAAGGAAAATGAGGAATTGGTACAGTAGTTCATCGACCTTCATATACATCCAACATGTCATGGCTTAAAATTAGCTCTTTGATAGATACTTTGCGGGTTTTTTTTTCAGCTTTTCAGTTCTTATTTCAGATATCAAGGTTTCCAAATACGTTTCTATAAATTCGTATCTTTTTTCACAAAAAAAAATTGTTCTCACTAGTAAAATTTCTGTTCTCGGCAAATTATTGATCGAATTTTATGACGTCAAATTTTCTTGGTTTCTTCAGAATTTCCTATTGTGACGTCATGAAAAAGGGCGACCATGCCTGATGACGTCACATATAAAGAACACAACTTTCTACAAATCTTTGAAAAGGAAGGATAAAAATCATTAGAGAAACAGATTCAACCACTATAACTCGTGTACTAAGATATTCCCCACTCTCAACAATTAAATTTTACTTATTTAAAAAAATCTGCAAACCTCGCCCTTTAAATATGAAAATTTAACTGTCTCGAGTGGAGAAATAGCGTAACACACTTGTTGCAGTGGTGGAATCTATATGTAATACATAGAACGATAGCAGAAATTACCAAAAATATGTGTGTGTACAACAGAACACACAAACCACCATCACCCGGTTCAAGTGATAAAATCGACGTACAAGCAAGAACAAATAACAACGACCAACTTTAAACTGTTACAAATGACCCAGTTATCATGACTTTGTACAGGCATAGCATGTGGAGGCTTAAGGTTAAACCTAGCTCTTTCATCTTCGCACACAAACTCACCCCTTTTTTAAAACCATACCTGGACTATTCTTATATACATTGAAAGCAAGGCAAGGACTCATCAAGGACTTTCAAAAGAATTCAAGTATGGTGTGCACACTATCTAATATATTTGAAGTTATTTTGATAACTGATTCAAGAAGATTTTTTCCCGAGTGATTGGAAGCTGCACACTGATATCTAGGTGGATGATTCTGTTGACGACTTAATTGGCTTCAAACTACGAAACAGTGGTAACGTCCTCTTTGCTACGCTACGTCACCGCTTTTTCGGAGTTTGAATTGGCATTTGAAGAGAAAACGCCAAAATAAAAGCTACGGCCTAAATTCCGAGTCATACCCTTATCGACATGATTCCGATAAAATCGATTAAGAAAAAAATATCGCATTTTGTTTACAAATTAACTACAATGAAGAGAAAATTGCAGGTAATAACTGTCGCGATTAGGAGTTAAAAAAGTCAAGTTTAAATCAAGGATCCAGTTCAAAACTGTGTGGCCATTTTCACTTTATCAAGCTTTATAAGATAAGTGATAAAAGGGTTTCTTGAATTAATTTTCTGAATGAAAAGTATAAGTGTTAAACTGAAGTTAATGTACATATCAAAACTTTGTTAATATGATTGTTAATATTTATCAAATGCAATCCACCCCGTTGAGAAGAGGGTCAGTTTGATTCATCAAGTTTTGTGTACATTATCAACACGAAGAAAAAGTTTGTAAATAAAAATAAGATTTGTATAGGAGATGCTGCAATAATGCAACAATTCATTGTATTCATTGCACTTTAACATCTTAGGTGAATATATAAGAAGATCATGACAACTATATTAACTGTTACAATAACAATAATAAATATGTATTTGTATAACTTACCAATTCCAAAACTGCATAAAACAAAAAGAACTACTAGTATGTTCATTGTGGATCTACGAAGTCGATTTATGCTTATAAACTGCGTTTTAGATAACTTGTAAGTATACACTGATTACCAATAAAAACGCAACACCAACATACAACTTTAATATTAAGGCAAGTTCTGAAAGTCTAGCTTCATTGAAAATTGATTGGAAAATGGTGTGCTTTGTATCAAAATAATCAGTTGGGAAGCGGCTAAGTGCCTGACGTAAAGAAAAAAAGATAATGTTTGCACGGTTGCATCTTTCAAACATATTTTCACATTTTATTGCCAAGTATAGGAGCATTTGTCTTTCATTTCCCATTCAAATAAAAGTAAATCATTTCTGGACTAAATTCGGTCTTAATAAACCTCTTGTCATAAAATTGTCAATCATGCATTTATTTTCAATTTGACCGAATTTTCTTTGACGAGTTTTTTTTTTTAATCTGAATGTGGAGTCCAAGACTTGATTTTGAAAAAAAAAACATGTAATAAAGGGATGCACTCATCCAGAAGTTGCATACTTTGGAATGAGACGTACACAACTTTATCTAATGTGTTCGCTATTTAAGGTGTACGTAACATTGTCAATGGTAATCTGAGTTTCTTAAGTACCTTTATCAGAAGCATTTGAGATTAAAAAAAAAGAGGAAAATAAAAACATATAACGAAAACAAGATATATCAAATGTTGTGATAAAATACTAAACGATAGGTGAATCTTAGAAAGTCAAATTTAGTTTATTACATGGATCTTGTTTTGTGATTTTATTTATAGTTACTCAGTATAGTACCCTCCTCTACTATTTGTTGTTTACGGAAACGGATATATCAACAAATAGGGGTTTCCCGTTTCCTGAGATCTTGTTTTTACATTTACTAATTTGATATTGTATAGGGCAAGTCAGAATGTTTATTCGCAACAAATGAAAATGCAGCCCGATGAACAAAACTGATTACACAAATCAAACATTCGAAGAAGATAAAGGTTCCCTGCTATTTACTTTGTTTTAAAATACACTTTAAAAGCCATAGTCAATCCTTTTTGACAATTAGATTGACACACATGGGACATACAATTGTGTTATTGGTCGCTGTGCAATGACGTTATTTCACTAACTCCTTCGTTCTTTATTTTATATGTTAACATAGGAGCTTTTAAGTTAGATTTTTGTATCAGTTTTAGTATTAACAATGCAAGGATTGGTATAGCGTAAAGTCGGTTTCCAAAGTTACTTTGACATCACCATCTCGAGGTAGATTTGAATAAGATGTGTATTATAGAATTGTAAAAAATGTGTAGTACTACAGACAATCAAAGCCTGTCTACACATGCAAAATCATTAAAAAAAACCCTGTCTAACCCTTGAAAATACATTCCTGTTTCTCATTTAATACAGATTTAAAGAATGACTCCAAAGTTACAAACAAACAAAAAATAATGGCCCCTATACACTTTATTCTAAATTTCTCAATCTTGAATTAGGAAATTATTAAGAAACTAAGGTTCAAACTCTATTATACAAAGTTGACTTTGGATGAAGTATCAATGTTTTAATGACACATTTTTTTGTATAGCTCCTAAAGTTTCTCAACGTTTTTAAACACACTTGGCTTTTCAAATGTTTTAATATTTGAACGCTCCTGGTAAAAGTCTATCCAGAAATGCGCCTTGGACGCACGAAACTTAAAATGTGTTATTTTCATATACAGACACGGTTTTCCGGTATACCGTTGGAGCCGTGGTTGTCGAGTGGTGTTAGTTGTCCATCTTCAGTGACACTAGCCAGTCAAAAATGAGGTTGTGAGTTCGAACCAAGCTGGTTGCAAGGTGCGTTCGACTCCGATCTTGATTGACAAAGGACTGCTGGTTTAAGTGCGAAGGTCTCTGGGCACTCTGTCTTCTTCCACTAAAATACAGGCCGCAATGATTTATCCAAGTGTGCAGAAAGTGGCGTTAAACACCAACAATCAATCCGGAATAAAATTAATTAACAAATTTCGTATATGAAAAATACTCAGTCTGGTATTTATTATTGTTTAATTGATAAAAAAGTATCCCATCATGAACATAATAACAGTCAATAACATTATCTAGACTTGCAGCATCGTTCTTCGTATTATATTGTAATACTGAAATATAAAATATATTAAGAAATTAAAAATGACTCTTGATATGAAAATTATAAAACATTCACTTAAGGTTTATGACCCCTTCTGTAGGCCTGTATATTTTCAAAGTGCTACAATATCAAAATAGTAAAAATTCAAAATAAAAATGACGTGCCATGTTTTACATATACCAAAGGGAAAAGTTGTTCAAAGCAATACTGTTAAATATTTCATTGCATTTAAGGTTCATCGAAAGGAATTGATAAATATGGCCGTGATTACACCACAAAATCGACTATGAGTACAGACAAACTGATGCATCTAGGAAAGTGTTAAGGCATGGCTGACCATAGTTATATAAAATTTAGATGTAAGTTTATGTTTCAGAAAATCTTCTAGAAAAAGGTCAATAATTTTCGTTACAAGTGTGTTATTCTGTTAGAGGGGTATTCTCAAGGTACGTGAATCATGTTTTATTGTAAAGATAAATCAATTACCGGCAGACTGATGTGTGTTTATACGTGTGAAATGCAAGGAAATATTAGAAAATATCGGTTGAACTGAACACATAGAAAATTTTCGTTAGCTTCTTTGTGATTTTTCGTACAAATGTGGATAGTAAACCCCCAATTGACAGAAAGAGGTGCCTGTGCTTGTTTTAACCAATATCTCTATTTATCTACTTCTTTTAGGGATGGCAATGCTAGCCCCGCATGCAACAACCCATTATCGATTAAGCACCGGATTGTCATATATAGGAGTACAAGGGGAAAGACTGCGTATTTTTTTTTTTTTTTTTATAAAATTTCCATAGGTTCAGCATTGAAACAATAAAAGGGTACATTATCCTTAAGACGATCATTCGTATACATCCATGTATATCTGCTCAATTAAGTGTTAATTATGGATGTAACCACTAGTCTGTCAATACTGAGGTTGTGAGTTCGAACACCGCTTGTGGCAAGGTGTGTTCGACTGCAAATGTTATCGAGTTTTCCAATGACATCCACGAAATAGCCTAAAGAAATGAAAGTGGCCTTAAACACCGACAATCAGCCTAAATCAGGTCTTCGTCTTGTCTGATCTTTAGTTTTTTTTTGTGTAGATGCTTTAGACCGTTGTCTTTCTTTTCAGCAGTTTTCCTTTTGACCACGGTGTTGTCAAGTTTTCTTCGACTTATGTTTTTTATAGACCTAAAGAATCTTCTTCGGTTTTGACATTGCTCATTTATCAGGAAATACTAGGCTAGCTAGGACAGATTGTAACATATATTAATTCAGACTCGAATGACTTCGGTTAGGCTTGCCTAATTGTTAACATTAGAAAAGACGTCTGACAGTAAAAATTTGCCGTTCAGAATTAAAGAGCCATAGGTAATTTCAGTGTTCGTGTTCCCAAACGAAAATAACGTCACGCCGTTGGTTGCATTTACTTTGTCTAGAACGTTTTAGCCAATCACAAGTTTTTGGTGTTTACTTCTTAAACTGTTACCCAGAATGGATTAGATTCTAAAACAGCGTTAAAACTTACAGTATTGTCAGTAAACAAAAATGCAAGTACGGCAATAGGATTGAAATCTTTGTTGTACTTGTAAAATGTGACCAAATGACCTGAAATATATCAAATTCAGAATGAAAGTGAAAAGAAAACGACAGCAACATACAATTAACATAAAACACACGCTACTAATGTTTTCCTGTTTTATTCATGAATGATGTTAAAAAAGCACTATTATAAGATTAAATGGTTGCTTGGAAACTTAACACTTTCACATTGATCTACAATACCAGGAAAAACTAAGACTTGACGTACATTATTTCAATGCAGAATAACATACGAAACTGTCTAGTCTTGCTTCAACTTACAAATAAGGTAATTAGTTTTCGTCACAAAAGTACCCGTCTTTATGATTGAACAACACCAGTATAATAATGACAATTCATATATTTTTAAGCTTTTCAAAATAGTATAAGTAAGAAAAAAACAAATGTTTATTAGAATTCGTACAGTTGGAATAAATATCTTTTTGTGTGTTAGATTGATTCAAAATTTTATGAAATTCATATCCCTGCTGAAATGTTTTTTTTTAAATACTATGACTAATTATTTACGTATCTACCGACTGTGAAATAAGGGGGTCACATTTTTGATCATGTAATAGTTGTTGCATATTTTTGACATTTCAATTATCGCACAATTACATTTTTCAAAAAATTAATAACATACATTTCCATTGTTTTAAATTGACAAAGTTTATAGTTGGGAATGACAACATTACGTACCTTTCTTTACTTCATTTCCAGATATAGTTCTTTCCTGGTCATCTTCGGCGGTAAAGATGTCATAATCCTTTGGTTCAAAATAAAACGATGGAGGTGCTTTCTGGAAACCTGAGGGACCTTTGGCTATGTATACAGAATTTTCGTAATTATTTACCCTGATGAAACATTCGGCTGTAAATGGAATAAAGGTCAAAGTTATACAAACTAATTGAAAGTTCATGTCTTCCGCTCGCTAGGACTCTTGAAAACTCGATGATTTTCGAACTAGAGAAAGATAATACGCATTGGTTTAAAATTTTAGAAGTACATTATTTTCTTTAAGTTAGGATGCAAATAGAAAAAGTTTCAATTTATCTGTTTTTCACAATTTTGCTTTTTCTCATCGTTGAAGGCCGTACAGTGACCTATAATTGCTTATACCCACATCATTTGAACTCTAGTGGATAGTTGTCTAATTGGTCTTCATAACACATCTCCTTATTTTTGTAAAAATAGCGCAAATAATGAATCATGAATCAGACAAATATTTTCACCCACTGCATCTCGAGAGTACCGCCTCGGTCGGTAGCTTCTTGATATTCCTCGTAATATTAATGTATTTTGTAATACGTTTCAAAGATGTTTTAGACTTACCAGTTACAAGGAAAGCAGAAAATAAGAACACTTTTACAGCCATAATCACCATTGTTTTTTTACCGAGTTTAATATGTTAATATTCAACATTACCATAATTATTATATCAGTTAATCTGTTTGCCCTACATACATGTATGACATAACGAATAATTGAAAAATGTATTCACTAATGCCAGTCTCATTACTGTGAATTTGCATTTGTAACTTAGCAAATGAGTTATATCCAGTGTATTTGTTACATTCGATTGCTCAATATCAGAAACAGTTTCAAAACCTACTGGAATTAGACTGATATACTGTTACTTAATGCGAAGCTCACGTTAGTTTTGGCGGCATTACTGATTTTTGAGTTGTTTCCACTTTAAATTGCAATTTTTCGAAACTTCGTCTACATGATTTTGTTTTAAAATGATACGTTAGTGCTGTGAACAATTCCGAGGAAAATCAAAAGCAACTTCGACTTCGTTTTTGCGGTCTACATCATACAAGTGTGTGTGATGTATGAAAAATAATGCAATTTTGCAGCGTGACGCTGTCATTACGCAATGAGTATTCTTTCCTTTTGATAAATATATATAATAAGAAGATGTGATATGATTGCCAATGAGACTACTCAGAGATCAAACGACGTAGAAGGTTTGCAGCTATAGGTCACCGTACAGCCTTCAATAATGAGCAAAACCTACACCGCATAATTCACTCAACATATCAAAATGGATCTTGTGACCCCGCATGAAGTTTAAACCATGCTCATAGCAATACCATGTAATTTTAAAACGACATGTTTTCGAGAAATGGCGCTTCATCGAGCGTGATGAAATGTTTCTCTGCTTGAAATAGCTACATTCTTTAAATTTAAGACGCAAAGCTTGCCTGGCGTTTTAAATATTTAAAATCTGTTTTTTTCACGATATTCAGAGGCAGTTAAACTACTTGTAATTGCATACACATTTTTTATAAAAATCCGAAACCGTATATTATACTTAGCCTTACCAGATTTTGCAGCAGTTTTTTTTTTGTCTAACCATACTGGTCTAGTAACACAGAAGTTTACCAGATTACTCAAATATTTGTTAACAGGTTCTCCGTTTGAAAATATTCTTGTAGCATATAAAGGGATTACCAAAAAAGGTAGGTAGAATATCATAGGCTCGAATTATAAACTACGAAAAGCGGATCACTCGTCTGATTTGGCAGTTTTTGCCTGAAATTTAATTGGTAGATGTATGAGGACCAGACACCGCCATTTAAACATCTAGCTACTAAATAGCAGAATGTCCATTTAATCTGAATACAAGCGTCATATGTTGTTATTTTGTGAAAAGAGAAGGAGGCATGTTAAATAATTTGCAAACAAAGATTTCTTACTAATTTCGCCTGTACATTATATGTTATTCGGGATCTTCACAGGAGATATGGACTCAACTATCCTGTCAGCGTGTAAAGCCCAAATACCAATTATAAAATACTTGATTACCCTGATTGCAACATTGAACACCATATTGATCTCTACATTTATTCACATGGGATATGGACATGTATTTTGTGTCAAGGTTACCAATTAAATTTTTTGATTAGCCGGAATATTTTACTCCAGTTTATAATACAATATACATGTTATGTTCTGTGCACTTTAATAACTAATTGTACTACAAAAGTTTGTCAATAAATCTTTACGACTATTACAGCACTGTACGAGATAAGATGGACTGAAGATGGCTATATGTCATGAGGAGGTGCATTGGGCTTATAAGTTGACCGAGTCCTAGACACGGATATTGATATAATATATTTACTAATATCCTTTCTTGAAAGATTTACATAAACTGAAGGCAAAAAACAAATCGTTAGCATCTTGTTTGTTTAGTTGTGTATGATTCTTTTCTTTTTGTCTTTCGTTTTATGTTGATTAGGTTAGTGATGCTTTAAACATTTTTTTATTTCGTTACGCAAATGTTAAAGTAGTATTGATTACGAACCCTGTTTCTCTTCTAAATGGGTTTTAAAAAGAAGTTCTATTGCATTTGTGGTTGCAAACCGTTGCATTCTATTATCAAAATTGTTCCTTTTAGACAACTGTTTTCCACTTTTCTCCGAAACAAGGATAAATAAAATTAATGTATTATTGTTTAATGCATACCTTTTTTCCCGCCTCCGACCAGAATTGTAAATAAAGGTGGGTGAAACTTCTGTCCATGGTGTTCGGAATTAGGAGTTGCATTTTTTTTTGTTGATTGCGAAACACATGAAGGAGGAAGGTTTGGCGCCAGCAAACAGGTTTAACCCCGCCACATTTTTTTTGCGCTTATTGTTTTGTATAGATTATTCTTATGTTGTACCGTTACACCACTGTCCCAGGTTAGGGGAGGTTGGCGCCTTCAAACATGTTTAACCCCCCCCCCCCCCCCCCCCAATATTCTGTATGTGCCTGTTCCAAAGAAGGGAGCCTGTAATTCTGTGATTGTCGATTGTTGCTGTTTATCATAATTGTTTTTCGTTAACTGTTTTGTACATAAATCAGGCCGTTAATTAACTCGTTTGAATTGTTTTTCATTTAATTTTTCATTTCGGGGCCTATTATAGCTTACAATGTTGTATGGGTTTTGCTCCTTTTTGAGCCGTATGATGACCTATAGCTGTTAACTTTTACGTCATTTGGTCTCTGGTGGAGAGTTGTTTCATTGGCAATCATACCACATCTTCTATTTCTTATATGAATGTTGTTTTATATTTGTTTCTCTTCAGGATGATCTGATGAACAACATAGCAAGTAAAGAAATTACTTTAAAAACTTGTTTATACATCTACCTAACCTTGTACTCAATCAACCTAAAAAAAAATCAAAATTTTGACCGAATAAAATCATACCCTCCTAGGTCCAGAAATATTATCAACGCAACTTCACCCTACCAGGCGCGGATCCAGGGATTTGATAAGAGGTGCAATTCCACAAAAGAGATTATATGTTAGTCGAGCGAAGCAAGGTGAAAAATGTATTTAAGCTAAAAAATCACATAAATCGTGAGAAACATGAGATTTGGTTTTGGCGATCAAAAAGGGGAAGTCGTGCTCCCTCTACGCCCCCTGGATCCGCCAATGCCTCCCCTCCCCTTGTTTCAAGTGTTACAGACTTTTTGTTTACATATCCTATTCGAGCCTATATGTTTGTCTCAGATTGAATTATAAATGCATGTCCATCTTGTCGCCTCGAAAGCTTGAATACTATTCAATTTTACAACCAATTAAGTAACTTTCACTTATGTTTGAGGGAATGGCATAACTCACTTTAATCCAATGTAGGTACTCTACACAATTTCCTGAACGAGCCTCGTATTTAAGAAAGAACTGTCATTGAAACTTTGATCGTCATTTATGCTTTTTCAAACATTGCGCTAAATAAGTATTGATTTTTTGGCACAAATGAAATATGACCTTTTAGCTCAAATGAAATATAACCGTTTGGCGAAAATAAAATACTATATTTTTTTTAATTGGTGCAAATGCGATGTGCTCCTTTAATGTGTATGTGTGTGTATATGGGTTTTAAAATTCTAAGCAAAAATGATTTTAGATATCGCAATGAAAATATCATACTTGATTGTAATGAAGTTATGCAAGTTTGTTTTTTGTACGGATACAAAGAGGAACAAAGCACAACTAAAGGAAAAGAAGGACACCTAAATGATAGAAGTAGTAGTGAGCTTTTATTTATTATTTCTAAGAAACGAAATTTAAAATGGGGGTCTTCAATCTCGTTTTCTCTACCACAAAAGAGGCAAGTTTATGGAAATGTACTATTCTATAAAATACGTCGATTTCAGTTACATTGTAACCATTTTCTATTATACCATTTTTCAAATTAAATGATGGAATAGAAAGGATATGATGTATTAACTCATCATAACCCGCACATGCAAAACCAAACGCAATGAAACGGCGCGTTAATTGCTGTTCTTAATGTTGCTTTTATTTGAAAAAAAAATGCCATACAATAAACATTCTTTTTTATAAAAGATGGATTTAAAAGAAAGTGAACTCGCATAAATGAATTGCATTACCTTAAGAGATTTGGTATTTAATTTATTACAACGATAGCAGACAAACAATGTTGCTTAAGGAAGTTCGCTACTCTGTTTCAAAATAACAAGCTTTTTAAAAGACTGTTATAAATTGATAGTATATAAATAAAGGAACTAAAAAAGCTGAAAAAAATGAAGGGTCGTGTGCTTGTTTTCGAGATATAAGCCATTGAAAATTTGGCGGGAAATAATTCTCTCTAGACTTTTCATACATTTAACATTAGCACCCTTTTTCTTTCAAAAAATATGAAAAAATAACAAGGATTTTATAGGATTTTCAAATATGGCTTTTTAAACTATTATATGTTATAAAATTATGAAAAGAAAGGTAGGAGTTAGCGGGGAATTTTTTTTAATGGCACTACATGGATAAAACCAGAGGATTCCGAATATCTGGCAAAATATTTAAAAACAAAAGGAGCGAACATCCTTAAATCTGATTCTGTTCGACTCAGTTGGATAGTTATCTCATTGGCAAGCATACCCCATTTCCGTATTTTATAATGTATATGAATCACGACATCGTCGTCTAACAATTTAGTATTGGTAATATTTACTAGCACGGGATCAAAGTTTTTCAATACCTTTAAAGCAACAGGGAAAAAGACAAGCACCGTGGTTATATGATTTGATTCATAACAATATGTTCTGTATGTGGATGCTTACTTTATTATTAAATTCAAAAGTAACTGCTTATTCATTTTTAATCTATATGTTTTACTGAGCATTCGCGAGATTATTAGCGCCAGATCCAAGTGCATCACTACCAATAATTTATTATGAAGATTCTTCAGATGAACTACTATTATCAGCAGCTGAATCACTTTCACTTCCACTTTCTTGTTCTATCTCCTCTTCTTCTTCCTCCTCCTCTTCCTCCTCCTCTGCCTCTTTCTCTTCCTCTTCTTCTGATTCCTCATCTTCTCCTTCTTCTTCCTCATTTTCTTCTTCCTCTCCCTCACTTTCTTCTTCTACTTCTTCTTCACTGCCGCTGTCAACTTCTGAATATCAAAATTAATCATTAAATTAAATCAAAACCACTGTTTTGTCTGCAGACTAAAGACTTTTAAAATATCTTGTTCTTCGAGATATAAAAAGTGTTTAATATTGAGAGAAGTGAAAGATATTCAGTTCAAGCAGAACTTGTTAACTACCTTTCTAATTCTAGTATAAAAAATATATATATGTGAATAAATAGACATGTGACGTACATGTATCACATAATTATCAATTAGACATCATCCAACAACATTAGAAAACAAGTCGAAAATACATCTCAAGGTCAGCATACGGTCTTCAATGATAGAGAGCTGTCTATACCATAATGCCAAGCTCTTAATCGCATTAATTCTTGACGTGTTGTAATTGTATATGAATTGTGGAGGAATTAGATTACCAAACAACTGTAAATTACATTAAATTCCTAGATGGACAAACGTACGAAGAAATGATTTTATCTAAAACCCCTGCTTCATTAAGGCAACAGTAGTCAACCGAAGTTCAAATCTCGTAAATGGATAAGAAACTCGAAAGAGAAAAATCAGGGTAACCGACTAAAACTGACGGAATGACATGCACGCCAAGAGTAGTGATCCCGTCTGCGTCGACAGGATAAGCGTCTCCTGCCATTCAAACATCACCCGGCATGCTAATTTATAGTCAGTCAAATGGTCACAATCGGAAAATTGTTTTTATGACCCCGCAACAAAGTTGTCGGAGCCATATAGTTTTACCCTTATCCGTCATTCCGCACAGAACAGATATACGAACTTTTATTCTGAACGCCTTCACATATTGAGCTGATTTTAAGAATGTGAATATACTATGATGCCTTACAGATCGAGTCCATGTTTGGTTCCGCTCCGCTGATTTTTGCTGAAATTACGGGGTTTGGACTTTGAAAAGTTCATGAAAATGAACGGTTATACAGACTTTGTTTTCTAAACACCTTCACCTTAAGCTGATTTTTAGTATGTGCGTCCACTTTTATGAGTTACAGATCAAGATTACCTTTGCTTCCGCTCCGCTGATTTTTGCCGAAATTACAGGCATTGGACACATTGAGCTGATTTTAAGTATTTTAGTCTACTATGATGAGTTACAGATCGAGTTTACGTTTGGTTCCGCTCCGCTGATTTTTGCCGAAACAACGGGCTTTGCACTTTGAACATTTTGTGAAAATAACAGTTATACAGACTTTTTTCCATACGCCTTCACATATTGAACTGATTTTTAGTATGTGAGTCTAGTATGATGAGTTACAGATCGACCGAACCATTTATTTTTGCTGATATTACGGGCTTTGGACTTTGAACATTTTGTGAAAAAACAGTTATACGGACTTTTTTTCTAAACGAGAAACAAAAAACAACTTGCGAAGCAAATTCTAATTTTATTTGCTTTCTTACTGCTGTAGAATATCACAGACGTTTTATCTACAAACACACGACCAAAGGATAAAGAAATCAAATAATCACAAATTCATAGTTCACCCGACATCTTTCCTGTGAGTTACAGAAACAATACAAACACTAAGATATCAGTATATTCGTTAGATAGCATGGAAGGAAATAATGTATGAACAAGGCAAATAATGTGTGAACAAGGCAAATAATGTATGAACAAGGCAAATAATGTATGAACAAGGTAAATAATTTATAAACAAGGCAAAATATTACGGAAACGATGCAAAACCATTTTGATTACTTAACAGACCAAACAAAAAGTGAATAAGTACTCATAAGAGAAATATTTCACCACTATATCTGTTAAAAAATAACGTCATACATGATATGAAACGCGAGGAAGCCTTATTCGACCTGAACACAGCACAAGTGATAAACTCAAAGTATTGGAAACAAAAGGAGACGGTTTATTACTTCGTAACAAACAAATCTCTTTACGCACATGACAAAACTCTGAGCAAAATAAAACTAGCGGTTAAACTGCTATTCTTCATTTCAAAGTCATAAGGAGGTTTTAGACATGGAGCAAAAGCTCACATCTGATTGCAATTTTAAGACGTCAATTAGCCTCAGTTTGAGATCGGTAGAATTTTATAAGTTTATACACTACACACCTTCTTCTTCGCTTGCTACTTCAGGTTCTTCCAGGGTCTCAGGAGCGACTAAAATAAAAAGATATATAATCATGAAATATTTCAAAGGACAATTTTGTTAAATCCAGTCCCATACATGTACTACATATAGAAGGTATATATGAATCAGAAACGTCGATTTAAACCATGGTAAAAATTAATAAACCTGACTGAGTATAATTTTCATTAGGCTATAATTAATCGTTGATTTTATTTATAAAATATCAAATTGAATATATATAATCAACAATGAGTGAGAGAGGATGGACACATGGAAATACGATATAAAACATGGTAAAAATTAATAAACCTGCGTATAATTTACATTAGGCTATAGATACATATCAAATTGTCAGTTTATTTTGGTCTTATGAGTTAGATAGCTCGGCAGGTAATATGGAAAAGACATATCATACAAATACGCTGCAAAACAATTTCGATTAACAAACAGATAAAAAAAGTTAATAAGTACTCATATCTCATAACATACATTATATATATATATATATATATATATATATAAACAAGTCTAAATTGAAAACAACGTTCAAACCTATATATATATATATATATATATATGATGTGACTGCATGGTAAGTAAAAGTATCATCCTTTATGACAGACAAAACAGTTTGTCTGCAAGGTATACCATCTACTTGCCACTACAACCCTAAATAAAGCAGAGGATGAAAGGCATTGCTCGACTAACGAAAGCTATATTTAATATAGCCTATTTGGTCGAGTGGTCTAGGCCGCTGGAGAAAGTGCTGGCGGTGTTGCCTCGATTTCTCAGATGTAGAGATGCGAATCCCGCTGTGAGAAGAACACAAATTTACTAACACAAATTTGCCGATCTTGCATTGTTGAGACGAAGTATATATACAAATTATGGTGTTAGCCCTGTATGACCACAGGTTATCCGATGGAAAACGTCTGTCGTAAAGTTGTCACATATTTAGACGTATAATTTTTACATATAGCATAAAATGCCATTGGCCTTGCATATTGAATATAAAAAGGGCAAATTTGTTTCTGCATATTGAACAAGATATTAAACACGAATTAAACGTATATGTCCTCAACACAGGACAAAAGATTAACTTACAGTGATGGTAACGACAGTATACGGTGTATTAATTCGTGACACAAAATGTTTAAAATAAATTCTAATAAAACAAGACAGCGGATTTATTGCGATTCTTATTCCAAAGTCAAAGGAGAGTTAAACTAGAACATACATGTAAGCGCACATCTCATTGCAAGTTCAAGGTGGACATTAGTACCGCTTTGAGAACGGTACCGTTTGTTCAAATTAAATAGTACACACCTTCTTCACTTGCTACTTCTGGCGCTTCCGGAACTACTGCTGGTGCTTCAACAGACACGTCTAAAATACAAAGTTATATATAAAAATGAACTAATTCAAAATAACAACTACTGTTCAATTCAGTCACATACTTGTATTACATAAAAAAAAAAAAGATACATGCATCAGGCACAACGATTTAAAGAATGGTAAATATAAAAACAAACCGATATATAATGTAGCTTAAGTTAACTTGTTAATTTCACTTCTCAAATGATACATTACATATATAAAATCAACGATGGAAAAGACGGGGTGAAACAGGGAAGAGTTGTCTCATGCCAATATTGTTATTTTATAATTATATAAATACGATTTAAAAATTACCTTGCATATTCTGTCAACGCATTATGAACTAAAATTATATATGGCGAAAAAATATGATAAAATGTTCACAAATATGACCAAAGCACCATCTTAAAAATTTATTACATAAGTACCTTCAGTTTTCTCCGATGAAAGGCTTGGCGCATCAGCCACAGGAGAAACTGCAGGAACCGGATCTCCTGTAAATTAATACGGTTTACATTTAAATGGATGCTGAGTTCAACATGGACGATTGTTACCCGTTTTCTGTTACTGATTTCATGTATTTTTGGTTCTTTTTTTCTCTTTGAAAAGTTATAGAACTTTGCTAGAACTAATAGTTTTTAAATTACTATTTTCAGAACATGCACTTTTCAAGTATAAATGTATTACTTTTCAGTTTTATTGAAATCAATTTCAGACCATTCTATTTCTGACTAAAAAACTGATATTATCGTCATGTGTACATATATACACAATGCAAACATCACATTTGTATAGCTACACAAATGAATGTAAATAATGATATAACAATCGATGCGTATGGAATTTGCCCTTTCCAGTGTGCAAAGGTTCACTTAGTACTTGAGGAATATTGAACCTTAAATACACAATTTCTAAAGAGACCTCACGAACAGGGTTCAACTTAGGTTCATCATAAGACCGTGATTGACAAAACATGAGGTATACAAAGAAAATAAATGAAATAATATTCGTGTCACATCAAAAATACAAAGACAATAAAACGGAAAAAGGGGGGAAAAAGTAAACAAATAAAAAAAAAGAAAAAAAAAGCTAACTTTAAATAAAGACAATTAAATGCTTTGTATAAATAGAATGCTTAAAACATATAATGACGAATGCTTCATCGGCATTTAGATAGAATCATTCAGATAATGCATATTTTCTCCTTACTGACATGAAATAACCAAATATTGATAGTTTTATTATAATTACAAATGTACCTTTAATATTCAATTATAACTATTTAATTACTGATTTTTGTTTGTAAACTTTAAACCATATATCCATTGTCATTTCGATACATTTAGTTAATTGATTTCGTCTTGAATTAAAATGAAATATTTGCGACTGCACGTTAAGCAATCACTAAATCGTTTTTAGGACTACATTAATTATTATTGCCTTAAATATTTTGAGATTTGGAATATCATGCTTAGCAGTCTCTCTATGTCACGAATAACTGTAAAACAAGTTGTCTCATATCAGTTGCTTTCATAAAACAATAAAATATGAAAGAATTCTAAAAGGTAAATTAAACCCTGTCCTTAGAAAAAGTACTTTTTGGCAGCGCAATCTAAAAATTTTAATAATCAAAATCAAAATTATGAAAAGGCATCGAGTTAGAAACTGAAATATCAGTAAATGTCGATAAATTTAAATAAATATATTTGCAAGACACTTACCTGCAGCAAACATGCAAGCAGCAAAGGCACACAGTATTACGAAAACCTTCATGGTGAATGGTATGTTTCTGGACTGTTGTTGTAAATGACTGATAGACAACCGTTTTGCAATTGCTTTTTTTAAATTACTGTGTTTTATACCCCAGTAAAGTGTAACAGCTGTTCTATAATACGTGGGTTGCATTCGATTCTTTCCTTATCATATTGTATTGAAACGACAGATTGATACTTTAAATTGATTTCCAGTTAATATATGACCAGTTGACAACTTGCGACGAAAAATTTAATTATACATTATTGTAATATTTGAAACTATCCAATGTTAAATAAAGATATATATACAATAAAACTATTTAATTCTATTCAAGTACAACATTCAGAACATTATCAATTGATGTTAAAATTCTAGCGCAAAAAGATGTTTATCAAATTTTGTGGTATATTTTTTCTGTTTTTAACCACAAATTATGTTTTACAATTTTCACTTACTGCAAAGTTTACACATGGAATCAATTTGGAATCGCGTTCGATGCCTATACATTAATTTTTTTTTAATAGTTAAGGTTTATCCACCAATTTTCATTCAATTTCACTCAATTAAATTCTGATCCCGGTTTATCAATCATATCATTTTTATTAAAAAAAAATGTAGGAATCCTAGCGCAAAAAAAATGTTTTAAACATTTCTGATTTTTCAACAAAAACTAACTTTTTGTCACAGATATGTTCAATTTGCATTGAATTCGAAACGACTTTTCTATCATAGGTACATGTTCAAACACTTTGCATACAAAGTGTATAAAATCGGATGAGGAAATCTTAACTTATCTTTGTGTCGATCTAACGATTAAGGTGATAGGTGCGTAAATGGACAATCTCGCGGAATTTTATGAAATTTTGCAAACTAGAGCATCAGGAACTGCACATGAATACCAAAAAAAAAAAAAAATATATATATAACTTTTATACTTTCTGAGATATAGGAAATAAAATATCCGAAAAATAGTAGTATTAATGTATAGAATACACGTAAATATCGTTAAAATCTTCAGCAATTTTGATTTGAAATTTACATTTCTCGAAGTCCTGTCCTACGAATTTCATCTAAAAATGATATCTTATTGCTACTGAAAATTCCTTTTTATTGATATAAAACTTACAGGGGGTCACCGAATTCGTTTTTTGCCGAAAAGGCATTAATAATCGTGACGTCGTGGCAAGAAATCTTAATTTTCGACGTTTTTAGATATTACAGAGACACTTGCATGATTTATACAGGAAAAACGAATTCGGTGACCCCCTATAACTTTCATATCAATGAAACGGAAATGTTAGTGGCAATAACATATCATTTTTAAAGAAAATTCGTAGGACACGTTTTTTGAGAAAACGCAATTTAAAGTAAACTTTTCAATATTTTTTTTTCGATATTTACGTGTATCCTATACATTTGTACTTCTTTCTACAGACTATTCAATTTGCTGTGAATCCGAAAGTATAAAAGTTACTTATATATTTTTTCGATATTCATATGCAGGTTCACATTCTAAAATTGATTGCAAAATTTCGTAAAAATCCTTGAGATTGCCCATTTACGTACCTGTTACTTTAAGCTATTTTCAACTGATTTTTATAGTTTGTTCTTATGTCGTGCTGTAACACCACTGTTCCAGGTTAGGGGAGGGTTGAGCGCTCACAAACATGTTTAACCCCACCACATTTTTTTTGTGCCTGTCCCAAGTCAGGAGCCTGAAGTTCAGTGGTTGTCGTTGGTTCATGTCTGTCATAATTGTTTTTCGTAAATTGTTTTGTTATAAATTAGGCCGTTAGTTTTCTCAATTGAATTGTTTCATATTTTTCATGTATTGTATAGCCGACTATACGGTAAGGGTTTTTCTCATTGTTGAAGGTCGTACAGTTGCCTATAATTGCTTAAATCCATTTCATTTGATCTTTGGTGGATAACTGTCTCATTAGCAATCGTACCACATCTCCTTACTTTTATATTGTGGTATGAAATAGAAGTGTTGACGGACGGACGAGTAGGTGTCGGACTTATGGTATGAAATAGAAGTGTTGACGGACAGACGAGTAGACAGACAAGGTGTACATTTCTAACTTGATTCGATAATGTAAAATCATCGTTCTCCCAGTATTTTAGCTATGTCAATAAAATGTTTAGGGTAATCTCTTTATAGCAATTCATATTTTTTTTTTAAATTACGCCAAAGGATAATTTAAATCTAAGATGAAAAATATTATGATTGAAAATTTAAAAAAAAAATATGTTTGTGAAAATGAATAAATATCCTGAAAAACAATGGCACTTTGCAATAAGTTCTAAAAATTTCATGTTGACGCAATTTATTCTTTTTTCTAGGGACTGAGACTGGTGTGCTGCTATGCGGAGTAGGGTTGGGCGCCCGCTAACATGTTTAACCCCGCCGCATTCTGTTTGTGCCTGTCCCAAGTTAGGAGCCTGTAATTCAGTGGTTGTTGTTTGTTGCTGTATATCATATTTGTTTTTCATTCATTATTTTGTACATAAATCAGGCCGTTAGTTTTCTCGTTTGAATTGTTTTACATTTGTCATTTCCGGGTCTTTTATAGCTGACTATGCGGTATGGGCTTTGCTCATTGTTGAAGGCCGTACGGTGACCTATAGTTGTTAATTTCTGTGTCATTCGGTCTCTTGTTGAGAGTTGTCTCATTGGCAATCATACCACATCTTTATAATAAATAACGTTTTTTGTCTCGCCTGCGACGAAAGTCGCGGAAAGCGAGACATAGGAATTGCTTTTCCGGCGACGGCGTCAACAATTGTTAAGGTACATATCAGTGTGACTATTTTTGAGGCCCTGCTCCTTAGGACATGGTCCAGTGACTTTGAATTAATTAGCAATTTTCAATGTTAAGTTTTCTGCTTAAGTTAGTTTGATAGGATCTACTTGTGATATGTCTTGTCGTATTTTGTATGAAGTTGCATTTCTATCAGTTCATATCAGTTTGACGATTATTTTGATGCACTGCCCCCTAGGACCTTGAATTAATAAGCAATTTTCAATGTTGAGTTTCTGCTTAATATAAAAATAAGGAGATGAGGTATGATTGCCAATGAGACAACTATCCACCAAAGTTAGTTTAATATGATCTACTTGTGATACATCAATGATATATTGTATGATGTTGCATTACTATCAGTTCATATCAGTTTGATGACTATTTCGAGGTCATGCCCCCTAGGACATGGTCCAGTGACTTTGAATTAATTCGCAATTTTCAAGGTTAAGTTTTTCTGCTTAAGTCAGTTTGATAAGAACTACTTGTGATAGATCAATGATGTTTTGTATAAAGCTGCATTACTATCAGCACATATTAGTCCGACACCCCATTTGTCCGACACCCTATTAGTTTGACATCCCAAAAGTCCGACACATTTGCAGGTCGTTATTGAAAATCTAGTTCATAGAATCGGTAAAAGTGGTATTTGAAATTGTGTATACTCTCCGTTGTGAGTATAACAAATTCAATGGAAAAGACAGCACTTCTCGTCTGGTATGTACCTATAAATATAAGGCAATCTACAACCTTCCAACATTTTGCTTTACTACTACAAAGTGTTAATAGCTATTTCATAAAAAAAACAATCCGCTAAAAAGTGAATTTGATTGATTGATTGTGGTATGCTTTACACCCAGTGGCAAATATTTCAAACATATGTTCATGACGAGAAATGAATGAACAACTAGTACAATAAGTAGGTCCTAAAAATAGAATATCGCCTGTATTAAAGGGCAGAAATTTTGACTGCCACTGGAAAATGAGGTTATATTGGAATTCTGACTAGACGTGGCTGCGTATTTATACATCCCCAAAAGTTATACGGACGCTCCACATTGGTAAGGATTTTACGGCCGGTAAAAAAAAAGACTAAAATTGAGCATATTTCTATACCATTATCCCAGTAACCATTGGGTGAAGAAACTGTAAAGAACAGTCTCTCGTCGTAACGGAAAATTTTCAGACCGCAATTTACTACCAAAACGGTTTAAACTGAAACGATTTCATTTGCAATGAAAAGAAACTTATTATACCCAAGCATGTTGGTTTCCATTTATCTACACTGAACTTGAATTTAAAGTTCGAAAACTTAAAAGAAATATGACAGTCAAAACATCCATAGTAAAATTGTCCAATCGATAATATTTGGTTCTTTGTTGATCACCTTATACAGGTTGTTAAACTCAGTCAAAACATCCATAGTAAAATTGTACAATCGATAATATTTGGTTCTTTGTTGAACACTTTACACAGGTTGTTAAACTCAGTCAAAACATCCATAGTAAAATTGTCCAATCGATAATATTTGGTTCTTTGTTGAACACTTTATACAGGTTGTTAAACTCAGTCAAAACATCCATAGTAAAATTGTACAATCGATAATATTTGGTTCTTTGTTGAACACCTTATACAGGTTGTTAAACTCAGTCAAAACATCCATAGTAAAAGTGTACAATCGATAATATATGGTTCTTTGTTGATCACCTTATACAGGTTGTTAAACTCAGTCAAACCATCCATAGTAAAAGTGTACAATCGATAATATTTGGTTCTTTGTTGAACACCTTATACAGGTTGTTAAACTCAGTTAAAACATCCATAGTAAAAGTGTACAATCGATAATATTTGGTTCTTTGTTGAACACCTTATACAGGTTGTTAAACTCAGTAAAACGAATGGCATTTGTCATCAGAATAGACCTTCAGTTTATATATACTATACATTTGCAACTGGACGTTAAGCAAAACAAATTATCAATCATGTAAGAATGGTTAGGAGTGTACTCCGAAAGCAGTGATTCATATTTGTTTATTGGATATTAATCAAAAATCAAACTCTTAAAAACTAAATAATTATACTTTATCGGTGTTCTGTTCTTTCCACCTACACAAATAATCGTTTATCGGCTATGAACAGCCAAAGCAATGTGTGAAAATAATTCTGTTACACCATACTAGGACACATTAATAAAATGAACGTTTGTACGCGTATAGAAGTGTAATATACATAAAACTTTTTATGCATTTTTAACGTGCTAGTAATAACCTGCATATCATTCACTAGTCCTTGCTTGGCATAGAAGAAGAATATAACA